GGCTAGCCCTTGAGCCAAGGAGCTAGCCTGTATATTGGCCCTGGCAACAGTCTGGTACCCAGGCTAGCCCTGGAGCCAAGGAGCTAGCCTGTAAACTTGCCCTGGCAACAGTCTGGCACCCAGGCTAGCCTTGGAGTCGAGTAGCTAGCCTGTATACTGGCCCTGGCAACAGTCTGGCACCAAGGCTCTGGTAATCTATAATCAAAGAGTACACAGAATTCAGTAGATACTCCTCTCTTCACAACATCACTTCTCTGTACAGATATCCTCATCTCCTAGTGCCATGCCTACCCGGAAACTCCTGTCCTGCTCAGATGTACTGTACATGTAGTGATTGTGTTGCTGCTGTTGAGGTTCCTTTGCTTGTACTTGATGCTCAAGTGTTCTTATACTCAATCATGCTCCAATTCCATCTTGTACTTGTCAATTGTCTTTTCTTGTACGTCCTTCAATAGACTGTCCAGTCTATCTGAATTAAGGCATAGTAATACGTATGTCTTACCATTTATGAAATTTTCGGTTTAATCTCGAAAAGTTGGCACATTAGTGTATTCATTGAGAATGCCAATGAAGTTTATCGCATATTCATGCCCAGTTGCTTTGGGGCTAAATGCAGAAAGTACAACACTGTGCCCTTTATACACACACCAACGCCACCGAAAACGTCTTGTCGAAGGTCATAACCGTACCCGCCACGCCCACAACAGGTGAATCTGGCGCAAACGAACGCGTGAAGTCCAACGCGGAAGAATGCCCAGAAGTAAGGCTCGGGTCTGAAATCAATTTTTACCCAAAAGACACCACTTTCTATACTTTTCAACCACATCATGTAGTTAATGTCATTTCGCAGCAGATTGTGAGAAATATAAATATAAACACAAACCTGATCCCTCCAAACCCTTTCCTTACTTTTTTTTTACCGCGCACTACGTATACCACGCGGAAGGATCGGTGTGTGCACCGTTCTTAACTAGCTCTGGCAAACTAGTACTCCGCGATAAGGTCAGTTGTTGCGACACAGGAAACAAACGTCAAAGAGTGAATTTGGCAAACATCAACTGGTAGTTCAGCTCATTTTTGAAGGCGATTTTGACAGGTGAGTTTAAATGTACGCTATGTATACCTTACATTTGTAAAACAAGTCCAACTATAGCAGTATAGGCCTAGGAAATCTTAGCATTCAATTCCTGCAGGAAAAGAGTTACACCCAGTTAATCAATGATGCCATATATTTCACTATATTTTTCTTGATTCTTTAATCTAGTATAATAATGATATATACTAATGTCACTTTAGTGTTAGTTGTCAGCGTCTTGTATTTGATCGTGTTTATTCTTCTTTGGGTGGCTTGGGTGACCTTGCACCGCACGGCGTTTCTTAATCACTAACTTATAAAACTATTTGCTTCACTAATAAAGTTGAACTTGAAGACAGCCACTACACAATCAAGGTAAAGTCAACTCAAAGAGCAAAGTACAACACGGTGCCCTTTATAGCGTGCGTTTTTCATGTAAACAGGTTGTTGGCCATGAATGCCCTCACCGTAAGCTTGGTGGCCCTGGTGGCGCTGACTGGACCGGCCGTGCAGTCGGAAGACGTGCCCTGCAGGACGTTTGAAGAGATCTACCCCAGCGGGAGGGAGCTGTGTGAGAAGATGTGGGACGGCGCCTTCGTGTACGAGACCAACCTCAGCGCGGCCTTCACCATGTGGTTCTTCGAGGCCGAAAATCCAAACAACAAAGTGTCTGAGAGACTCGGGTGGCCATCGGCTGATGACTGTCACTTGGAGTACTTTCATAAGGTTTGTACAGTTATTACCTCAAGCGTAGTACATGTATCTAACACGTTTGGTAGCGGGTAGATGTACAGATATTTGGCAATGGTGGCATGGGGATATATCATATCATATCATATCATATCATACCGAACCATATCGGTGTTGCCCAATAATAACCATAGAGTCTTCGCTTTGAAACTGAGAGGGAAGAGGTAGGTACATGAATGACTCTCGTCCTTTTCTCTGACAGGAAAGCCCGGGACCAGAACCGGACAACTTCACGGAGTGCCATCCCTGGAAGGACTACTCCTGCTGTCACCAGGCCACCGTGTCTTCCGTACAGAACATCAAGGAAGCGTACGGCAAGGAGTGGCACTGGGACCGGTGTGGTCCCCTCAGCTCTGCCTGTGAGCGCTTCTTCGTGCAGGAGGCCTGTCTGTACGAATGTGAACCCAACGCAGGTAACGCTATTTATCATGTATCTGTTGATTTGTGTCTATACATTACGTCCGTCCATCCGTCCATGGATGTGTCATAATCAGTGTGCGTGCGTGTGTGTGTCTGTGTGTGTCTGTGTGCGCGTGTGCGCGCGTGCGTGCGTGTGTGTGTGTGTGTGTGTGTGTGTGTGTGTGTGTGTGTGTGTGTGTGTGTGTGTGTGTGTGTGTGTGTGTGTGTGACCATGTGTATGACCACATCGGCCCCAGTGCCAATCCATCCACCTACACAAGCACTCGCAGAGCACACGTCTATCTACTGTACATAGAAGAGCACAACATACAACTTTAATAATCAAAATACCTTGACTTTGTCTGAACTTCCAGGTTTCTATCGGAAATTCCCGGCTCACATCTACAACGAGTCGGACCCGAACCACAACAAGTGGCAGATGGAGGGCATGCCCATCCGCGCCGACTACTGCGACGCCTGGCTACGAGCCTGCCGGTACGACCGCTTCTGTGCCGTGGACAGTGGCAGCTATCACTCGTGTGCCAGGGAGTACCTCGAAGCTGATAAGCTGACCACGGGGGAATACGGTGTAAATGCTGGGCTAGTTGCAGGAGTAGTCGTAGCTTTGTTGGTGGGGTTAGTGTTGTGTGGTACTCTTGGTTATTTCATTTACCGAGAGAGGAAGGGGGAACCTGTGTTCGACAAGCTCGAGACTTGAGTCGTTCGATAACATCATGAGGACCCCTATCTACAGTATGTTTTTCCGTCAACAGCTAAAAAACATATCCTACACTTTGTCACATGTTCATGGTTAGTCTATGTACAGTGGCCTGTGTGGTTGTGGTGCGCGTGCTACGTGGGGCTCTAGGTTATTTCATTTTCAGAGAGCCTGAGAAAGCGGCAAACTGTGTTCAAAATTAAAAATAACATACTCAGGATCTGACCTTTGAAAAACGTTTCCGTGACGGCATATCACATGTACATATATTATTGCGTGCAAAAATCAGTTTATAAGTTTTACCCAAGTACAATGTTCCTATAAGGTACTGGCACTGTTGATAATCGCTTGTGTTGCCTTCCCTGTGTGGTTGTATGGCGGGAACAAAATCCACTGAAAAATGGCAATTTTGCTAGTTTAAGTGGTAATAAGTTAGATATGATCCGTAGATGCTTTGCAACTTTTGAATTGTTTGTGGGTATAATAAGTGGACAAGGTTTTGTGGAGCAGTTCAACCAACCAAGAAATCTATCTCTTCATTCATCAACTTTTATAATCAGAAATATATGTTTACGTTTATTGCAAATACATGCCGGAATGCTACATGTAGCACAGATACAAGCTGACTACAATGATATCAAGAACCGTTGTATGAAAAATCTTGTTATTATAAAAGGTATGACATACAAAAATTAGCCCCGCCTGATTGTGAGAAGATATGAAAGGTCTAGTTATGTTGAATTTTATTGCTTATAAGTAGATCATTTTGTAGCTCGTAGCGTGAAGCTGACAGTACAAAAGTCGTAGCCTCTACCAGGCTCCGCGGATCGCTGGAAAAATAGTAGAAATTGGCCGAAATAAAGGGATAGTATACCAGAGAAGATCCAGCCGGCCATAGAAGCTCCAATTTGCGACCCACGGATCCGTGG